CACAGTGAGGCTTGCGCATCTTCAGCTGGAGATTAACACGCAGCATTTGCAACATGGGTCACCGATGCAACACCTTTGGAGAAGCCCCGGAGTAGCCGGACAAGTCTCGGCATGATTTCGGTTCGCGAGCCGCTTGCTCTTCCATAAGGCTCCGCATCCGGAAGGAGTCTTCGTCTCCAAAGGTCACGTGGAGGCAGGGGAGTATGGTGAAAGCGCAAGGGCGCTGACCTCGGTGCGGACTGTGCTCATTCGAGCAGGAGCTGCAGAAGCGTGTCAGCGCTCTTCAAAAGGCAGGGCCGTGAGCAGAGCCTGTGCGGGGCATGTGGTCATGACTCTTGCGCCTGCTCTCGTAATTTATTGTGGCCCTGAACTTGGTAACGCGGCCGCGTGTCGCTGGATCAAAGCTAAAAACAGGTGGAGACAAAACATCTCAGCGTGCAACTGAACCTTAAAGGAGGCATCCCAACCAGGATCGCGTGAAGGCCTCTCTCGCAGCACTGGTTGCGCATATGCGAGCAGAATTTCTCCAGACATGGCTTTGCAAGCCGGTGCAGACATCCACGCAGAAGTAGAATTGGTAGCCATGTGTTTGGGTTTCGTTGCTGCATGTCTGCAATACACGCGTAAGGCTTGAATGAGGGCCACAGGCAACGAGTTTCCAATGCCATGGCCTGCCCTTTCGCAGTTCTGGGGATCGAGGCGCAGAAGACGGGGCGATGGGCGGATGGGGCGTGTTTTGTGTTGCCACCTGAGTTGCGCTCAAGCAACTACCAGGCCAAGGATGCCTGGAGCATGGGCGAAGATCCAACACAAGCGCAACATGCGTTAATGTCAAAAGCCATGAGCCCCTTCCATTGATTTTGTTCGAGTGTTGCTTTTGGTGATCCAATCAGGGATCTCTCCGCCTGGGGCTGTGCTCACTTGTGGTCGGGCAGGACCTTGACGCGCCAGCCTCTGTCATCGAGAGCGCTTTTCGAAAGCGCAGCCTTGTTTGCCACCCGGACCCGCTGCATGTGTTACTTTGAATCGCTGCGCTGAAGCTTCCGGAGAAGAAGCTTGGACAGTTGCATGCGTATCATAGCGCATCCTCAGGTTGCATTGGCAACCTTGACTTGGCAGGACAAGAAGCCCGGCGATCCTGCGGCAAAGTCGCAATTTGAGGCCAGGCCGCGCATGGCATTGCTTGCTGAGCTGGCCTTGGGTATACAAGCCACAGGCCAATTACAGCCGGCAAGCAAACAAGTGTAAGAGACGAGGGGTGAGCTTTGCATTCATGCCAGGAGCTTTCTGCTGCCAAGGAGCAGTGGCTTGTCAATGGCCATGCCCACAGCTGCCTTGTGACCAGGGAATGAGGGCAGGCGTGGCACCAGACATTTCATGTTTGGTTCCGTGGTTGGCCTCCATTCTTCCTGTCAGACGGAAGTACATGGGAAGCTGTTGTTGGGAGGAGACTTTGCTGGATCCTGCAAAGCGCGCAGCTGCCTTGACGGCAGCCAGAGTGTCGACTGCGCGGAGGGCCTGCAAGGCGGGACTCGTTTTTCTCAAGTAGGGACGCTATTTGCGGAGGACCCTGTTATGGATGTCGTTTAAGTTGGTGGAACATCCATACTGTGACCGTTGCTTGCGGTCTCGCTGGCTTGCCATGCCTTGACTGTTGCCACGAGGGTTGGTCCGATTGATCCATCGAGTGGGAGGGCACGTGACCGGGAGATGTCCAGGGCACCTTCACCAGATTCGCACAATGCAGAGCTGCTGCACGCCGCGCCTCAGGCGCCAAAAGCATCAACTCAGCACCATGCTTTGGCCTGAAGTGACCCCAAAATGCAGGTCGTTCACGAGGCAAACCAGGGGTATGTTGGTCTCATATCCACTTGTTGTGCCACTGCTTGGGCTGTGCAGCAGGCGTGGGGCAGCCAAAGAAAGCCACGGCTGCGCCGAATGCCACGGCTGCGCCGAATGCAGCGATGGAGCCGTCCTGCAATGTTTTCTTTTTTTTGGGGGGGTTTGGCCTGCAGACCATTCACCGCGTTGGAAGACGTTCGGCTAGTAGTTGTAGCCAGCAGTTCTTTCTCCGCCCTTCAGCGAAGATGCATTTGCTTTTTCATGGTCGGATGATGACGTTTGGGTGATAAGCCCCTTGAGCAGCTTGTGGCCCGTCATGGCCCGTCAGATGGGTGATAAGAACACGGAACGCATCCAACAGATTGCATTTGGAATCCCAAGTGATGGGACCCCAATTTCCTCAAGTGTCCACGTTTTTTCCACCCTCGCAGCAGGGTTTCTTCCTTGGGACAAGTCTTGCATCACAGTTTCGCCTGGCGACCATTGCTTGCTTGCTGGCCTGCTTGCTCGCTTGTTTGCCTCTGGCGCCAGCCTGGTGGGTTGGGGGGCGAGCAAACGTGCTGCATTGCAAGTTTGGAAGGGGACTTGGAGTTGCGAAGGTGGTGAATGCGAACAAATTTAAAAGCAAGCAAGGCTGCCAGCCCTCTGCAGCTTGAAA